CACCATCCATGAACATGCAAAAATATATATTAAGAAAAAAAAAATCTGATTGATAATCAACCAGAAAAAGAAAGAAAAGAGGAAAACTCCTCCAAAATAGCCAGAAAAATGAAATTTCATTCTGATCTTTCACTTGATGCCGATATATGCTTTACTTTTTGTATATTTTCAAGAGCAATAATCCAATGGATCGGAAGGGAAAGAAATATTAATGAAAAAACAGAACTTAAGAGGATGAGAAGGAATTTTTTTTCATTTAAAGGACCACAAACGATGAATTTTTCGTTGCTTTATGTCTCGCTTAAGTGCAATATTCGTTTCATTCATTAATAAAGAAAAATTAGGTTTGGTCAATTGAATGAGTTCACAATTCATTCTTATTTATAGCTGGTAGATTGAAAGGAAGTTTGAATGTTTGGAGACACTTTGACTGAATTGTATGGATGAGTTTAAAATTATCCGTTAAAATTGAATTTAAAATTTTGCATCAAAAAATTAAACTCAGTTAAATTTCAAATAAATCCGTTATGTTACTCAACACAATTAAGAATTTCTTAGAAGCTTTCAACATTTCCCAATCATTCACAACTTGATTATTTTTATTACCCATTCTCACATATTTCTTCATTTCAATATTTGCAACAATTCATTGTTAAAATTTGCGACTGTATCGCAAATGTGCATTGTTTTCAGTAATTATCAAGCAAATAATAAAGAAAAAGTAATGCTGAATGAATTTAAAAATTCCATTCATAAATCTCGCTTCATTTTGCAATAAATGTATGCATTTATGAATTCAAATATATATGGAAAAAAAAAGATTTCAAAAGAACTAAATATTTGCTCTTTTATCAGCACCGAAATTATTTCTCTCTCCTTCACTGTTATTCACAATTTGTTCGGCTGATTATGAATGGTTTTTTTATGAAATATGTATACATTTTTATATCACTTATACACATATTCCGTCTGATTTCTGATTTTTTTTTGCTTTTTTGGAATTTTTAATTCTTCTTCTTTGACTCTTTCTGCTTTCATTTGCTCAAGGCATGAAAATCAATTAATCATAATAACAAGCCAATATTTTTCTTATGCAAATAGCTAAACAGAGAAAATGTTGATTTTTAACATAGATTATTTGAATAGTGAAATAGTTGAGGGAATAAATGACAACGAGTTTTTAACAAGCTTTTATAATTCAATGAGGTTTACAACTTGAAATAACAGTTTTCCAAATTTTTTCAAATTAATTTTTTTTCTCACTTCGAAAAGGTTTTTGCTAGTTTTTCTTCAAGTAAGCATCAACAATGCAAGCTATAATGTAAATACTCATTGAAAAGTTGGCACAAATGGTCAGCATTAGATACATTCAATCATAACTTCAAAATTCGTAACATTTGAAAACAAAAACTAGCTAAAGATTTTGTCATAATAAAGAAAATAAAACATCTCCTGCTCAAATAGATAGTAATAAGCTAGACCTAAATTGATTGATCGCATGATCGTCGTGAAGGATAATGACAAAGCGTCAAAATATTTACACAAACAAACAATTTTGATGTCCTATGAAGAAAATTATGACAGAAATATTTTATAAAAAAAAATTTGTTTCAGCAATTTGTCAGCATTTTTCGGGTTCTATTGATCGCAAAAGGAGCACAAGAAGGAGACCCATTAAATTAATATCCCAAGTGTATATATGACATTAGTCACATTGAAAGCTATTCCAATAAATTCAACAATCTTAATTGACTTAATCAAGATTTAATTTGGAACAAAATTTATTTTACATCATCATCATAAGCAGCATTTTATTATTATTTCTTCTCCTCACTCTCTGTTCTGCCTGTGTTTTTAATCCTCCATGTAATTTAAATCTCTTCTTATTTGTTGCTTTTTATCACCTCACAAGATACCGATGACCATAAATAAAAATCTTCAAAATATCTCTTTTCCTTCGTGTATGTTTTATATTGCTTATATTATATACATACAAGTATGTACATTTTGCTGGATGTAAAACAAATTCCCGAAAAAAATAAATTTTTCAAGCGAGCAGCAAGGAACGAAGCAAGTGAGTGAGATGGAGGAGTCCAAAATAATATCAAGATAAGGCAGAAAAAAATAAGAGAAAAATAAAATATAAAAAAACATTACACTTTGAGCATTTTATCATGATTATCATCTTCCTGTAGTCTGAAACAGAAAAGAAATATTTCATGTTTATATATGTGCAAATATGCGAAATGAATGAAAAATTATGAAACTTTTTTTTATGTACGAACAGTATAAGGAACTACACACACATATATTGGCAATATGTAAATTTAACTCAATTTCTTATGAAAAATTGCTTAAATTAAATTCCATTGAGAGGAATTTTTATTTAACTGCCTGTATCAGCTGATACATAAATACGTGTATATCCTCAGCCTTTATAAATTTCACATATTCATTTAGATATGACTGTTATTTATTCAGATGTTTGTTGAACAACAAGATTTCTTCTTAGTGTTTTGTTTTTATTTAACTGGAATTTAAGACGAAAATTTTGGAATTTTAACGATGGCAAGCGTAGTTAAACGCATTTTCAAGACAAACCAACTTTTAATGTTCAAATTTGATTCAGCAATTTTTGATGTTCAAAATTTGAACTTTTTTGCAATTTTTGTCACTTCAAAAAGTTTTTTGTAATTTATTCTTAATTAAAAGCCTGGTTAAGCATAGAATGATCTTCAGTTGCTTTAAAAATGTGGCAAGCTCCTTCCTTATAAACTTAATGTGCATTAAACACTCCACATTTATAGAAATAAGCAAATTTCACACAAAAATCTTGAGTCAGCCACTAAAACTGCCCTCGTTTTCTGATTTAAATTTAGAAAATTGCGTCAAAAACCAGAAAGTAGAATCATTTCAAGAATTAAGCAGCGACTCAGTGTTCCCACAAGAGTGAGAAAATATATATTGAGGCACTTTTCATTTCGTTATCTCCACATGATGTGACTGTGAGGTAACATACATAAACATCTCAAAATGGATATTTTTTAATGAAAATTTTTCACATGAAAAATTTGACAACCGAAGAAAGAAAGAAAGAGAGATGAAAAGAATTTATGCAATGAGGCACAACAAGAAGGAACAATTGTCGAATAAATCAAAGACAAAAAGATGCGCCAATATTGCCAATAAATGGTTTTTTTGAACATCAGAATTTGCATTATAATGTAGAAATCTTTAATCAATTCTGTTCTGCTCTGAATTCAATTCAAATGAAGTCGTGTCCACTGTGGAGATTTTTCCCATTGCCGGTGGAAAAATCCTTTTTGCTTTCTTATACACAAATGAAGTTTCTCGTTAAAGACAATAAATGAAAAACGTGAAGAGATATGGGATAATAATAATAAAAATAATAAAGAATAAATGGTGGAACCCTAATTCTAAGAATCTCCTTATTGTTTGTTTCTCTCCATTCCATTCTCTTATGGATGTGAAGCAAAAATATGCAGCAAAAAGAATTTCTTCATTTTCGGACGCTTTTTTTGGAATTTCTTTTGTTGTTATTTCATTTGTGTTCCTTTTTTTCATGCATTTTTTCACATTACATATCACTGCTGCTTGTCTCTATGTGTGACATTACGAAAGCACATGAAACAAAAAGGGAGAAAAGAGAAGAAAATAATAAAGGAATAAATGAATTTTAGTGCTGCTCTTCAACTTTTAAGCATCAGAAGAAGAACGAGGAGCAGTGAAAGACGCAAGAAGAAGAGAGATGGTAACCTGAGAGCCATGTGATAAGCCAGCAGTTCGTCCAAAGAATCATCATGAATGGTATGAGAATGAGAGAAACATAAGAGAGGCCTCTTCAAGTGGAAGTTAATTAAAAATCATTGTCTTGTTATTTTAATTTTTATGCATGCACACAGTTGGTGTGTCCTCGAGAAACAAAAAAAAAAGATTCTTCTCTTGCCAAATTTATGACCATCTTTATTGCACATCTTGAAGAAAAGAAAGACATTCTTCAAGGTCCGTTTTTTGCTTATTAACATGCGTTTTGACGCATGCTTTACTAAATGTGTGTGGGTTTTTCCTGATTTTTTTGGTCACTTTCAGGGCAAATGCAATTGATTTAAATTTTGAAAATCCGTTAGAAATTGAAAGAAGAATTTTGGTTCCGCAATAAAATGCGTCACAGCTATTAACCAAGCAGTTAACTTTTAATCACTTTTTTCGACAAAGCATATCTTGCACCCACAAACTTAAATCCACATTTTTCAATATTCATTTTTTAAAAATCTTAATATTCAGTCTGCGGTTAAAGTCAATTGTTTAATGGTCCAATTACAACAATTTTAAGTAGTTGGAAGTTGCATTCTTTTAATTTGACCAACCAAAAAAGTCAGCAAACGGGACTTTTTTTATTGATTTTATTCACGAAATTCTTCATACCTATATAAAGATTCTCAGCTTTTTTTTAAATGGAAAAAAGGGCAGAAAACCACAAAAAGGCAGCAAACACAATAGAAAATAAAGTGGAATTTTTCACTCTCCCCAAGTTCCCGAAATGAAGATTGAAAAAGAAAACAAAAGTGAATGAAAACATAAAGATACTGCACATCTAGACAGGTAAATGTTTGGTCCTTTAAAGATTTCCTGAGAAGTCTTATGATGATATTAAATATTTAACTTTCGTGTCTTTTCGGCTGCTCAATTTAATTCTCAAGCAAGCGATATATTTTTTAAGGACATGTGAATTATTTACATAAAAATTTCTCACGGACCGATTTGTAACAGTGCTCATCACGATGAGACATAAGGATATTAAAGTATGCAAACAGCAGTGGCGGCTAAAGCATAAAACAAACTGTTTACTTTAAGCACTGCGGCGATTTAAATTTTCATCAAAAGATGCATTGTGCATTGTCATTTCTTCATTGTTAGACGAAAATTGAAAATTGAAAGAAAAATAAGGAATTTAAATTAAAAAATTACGCAGAACTCACCATCAAGTCTCTTTTGGTAATGCTATTGTCAGTGTAGTATATCAAGACCTCAGGCTGGAGTGCATGTGTTGATGGCTCACGTAGTTTTGATGCAAGAAATGTGCATGTCGCCGCTAATAGCTGTAAATTATTCTTGCTTATTGGCAATTTATTGAGCACACGATCCATATAGTTGATTGCGAGAATTGGAACCTCTTCCTGGCATTCACGTTCTTCACACAACTGTAATAAGAAACAAATAAATCATTGAATTAATATCATTCGGAATCTTCTGTTGTGGTTGATTAAGAAAAAAAAAAGAATTCCACGAAGTGTGGCATTATCCTCTATATGATTGACCTCGACTCTTGCGAGAAAGAGCAACCAGAACCGCAAATTAATGTAGAGAAATAATGTTATGAACCTTTTGCGAAAACAGAAAGAAAACAAGAATTAGTTATCGGAAGAATCTTCTAGATCATCGATTTCAGCGCATTTTCAACGGTTATTTGAATTTTTTAATAACTAGTTGCATAACACTTGTTATTGAATTTCAGATTCCAATTGCTGTTAAGCTATTAACAAAGTTGCAACCAGTTAAAACACTTCATTAGCATTTACAAAAGGCAGTGATCCAAGTAAGCATGTCATGTATGGATGCTTTATGATGCTAACAATGATATTTGTTGCATCTCTTCATTTGTAATCGTCTGGCAAATGATCCTCACTTCCTGTACGCTCATTTATATTATTGTATAACGAAAAGAAAGTTCTCGTATTCAAAGCCGCACATAAAGTGTGAATTATTATTCCCAGTTTGCTTATTTCTCCTTTTATTCTGCTATATGTGCATCTTATTTACATAAGTAGATGAATTACAAGGAATTATGCATCATTTGAGAACTGGGTAAGATCCTAACAATATAAAAAAGTGTAGTAAAAATTTCCGCAAACACTTCTTTGTTGTTTTGCCGATATACTTTCCGTTATACCTATTTTCTACACCTTTTGTGCTTATGAATCGTTGTCTAATGTTCAAATTGCATAAGTAAAAAGAAGTTCTTTTCTGTTACCTAATTTCTATATTTTTTCTTCCCTTTTTCTTGTTCAGACCCTCCTCATAGCAATTCGTACATGAACTCAAAAAAAAACATGTATGTAAAGAAATAAGTGCGATTAGCATAACATTGTAAAAAAGTTATTCCATCCAGGTGCGATCATCATAAATCAGCAAATATTTTCTGTTCGTGTAGTTAAAAATAAGTTTTCTTTCATAGATGATCATAAGGTATACACTCAGAGGAAAATTTAGGTGATAGACAGTTAATGAGTTTGAGACACGCTTGCCAATAACTTATCTAATAGGAATCTTATGAAATTTCATAGTGGAATGAACTCGTAAATTTTCTTAAAATGGAACTTTGGAATTTGAATAGTTTTGCAGCCTTAGAATTGAAAAATTAATTTCTCGGAGTGTAATGGACAAGACTCTTCAAAATTGCAAAAACCTCATTCAACAATTGCCTGTCACTCATGCCTAGTTTAAACTATGATAACTCATCTATCAGTCAGCGGTAACCAATCAATGTTATTGAGCACACGCTAAGAAATAACTCTTCTTTTCCTATCAAAGTCAAATTCACTTTGAATGGATTTTATTTGCTCATATTTTCATAAGTCATGTTTATTTGATAAGCAAAATATTAAAAGTACATGTACTCTGAGCTGTGTTGATGAATAAGAAGCAATTGGAGAGGGAGAGAAGCCACTGAGGCTTCTTCACGCACTCGTATCACAAAGGGGGTTCATTTATTAATTACGTAACGCATAAAAAGCTAGTAAATCCCCTTCTTTGTCAACATTTTTAATTTGTTGAACAGTCACAAAATCTCAATCCTCCTCTTCCCTAAAAGTGTTACGTAATAACATAACCCCAAACATATACACCGGAAACAGAACTTCAAATACATAAATGTAAATACATTCTGCCAAGTTGATAACATTATCATTCAAATAATTTGTATTTCAAACTTCTTCTTATTGTTATTACAACAACATCAACACTAACATGACGAGTTTGATGGAACCAAAAAAATATTTTAAACTCGTTTTTATTGGTTTTTAAGTTCATTGATCGAGTGAGACATTTAATGAGAAGAATATGTCGCGAAGGATCTTTAGCGAAAATAAATTGATATCTAATACTTAGCATATATATTTTATTATTATTATTAAGAAACTCTATGTCTAGGTTCCATCAGTGGCTTCATAATTTTTCATTTTATTCATTCTAATTTGTATATTTTCAGGCAAAATAATAATAAAGTCTATGAGATGTTATAATAAATTGATAGCTCATCTATCTAAGCAAACGACTGTGTTTAGAGAAGAGCGAAAATATATATAATCATAAACGTTTCCTGTCCTGATCCCCATACTCGATTTTTTTCTTCTTTTTCATTTCGATTCTCAAACGTAACAATAATAAATTATCGCTGTAGCTCATTGAGATTCAATATGAAAAAAAAATTAACAAACTTTATTAGTTAAGTTCATGACTAGTATAACTAGAAATCAATAAAGCCGCAAACTTTGAGAAATTTGATATTGATGGTAATCAAACTTCATCAATGGTGATTAAAGAATGATTAACAGAAGGAACTTAAATTTAAACGATTTATTTTGTTTTTTATTCTAGAATATCTAGACGGGTTGACGAGTGAGGTTAGGGCACTCTAGAGAAGTTTATATTGAATATTGATGTTGTATTTTGAATTCTAACCTCAAAAAACTGATTGAATTCTTGATTTTGAAGGTTAGAAAAAATTCTAACCTAAAAGCTTGAGATTTAACCTCAAAAAGTAAGTCAAGCCTTTAAAATTGGAGATTTAGCCTCAAAAAATCTAACCTTAAATTTATGAAATCCAATCTCAAAAGGGTAAGTTAAATTAAAAAATTTGAGATCTAACCTCAAAAAGTGAATTCTAACCTTAGTTTTAAAATCTTACCTCAAAAACCAGAGAATAACCTCGAAGTTTTTGAGCCAATTTTAAAAAAAGAAATTCTAACCTTAAACTTATTCATGTTCTTAACCTTAAAATTCCATTCTATAAAATCCTAAGGATCAACTAGCTACAATTATTCAGTATCTAATCCTCGCACAACTCGATGTGGAGAGAAAATTAAAAGACTTTTTTTTTCATACCAACCACCGGTCTAAGAGTGAGTCTATGAATGTGACCTTGAATCAAATGGCGATAGCTTTTTTTTTTATTTTATAACATTCCATTCGCTTTTCAAAGAAAAAAAAAATGTTTTCTTCTCTTTCTATTAAAATAGCAGCAACAAAAAACACACGAGCTCCTCAGTTTTAATTCTCTTGATATGAATATCTTCTTCTTATCAAAACTTATTCTCATACATATGAATGAGATAGTTGTCCTTAATGGGTTAAAATAGAAATTAGGGTGAAGAACATTGCCATTGCCATGTCTATGATCAGACAAGTCTGACTTGAAATTCTTCTTTGTTCTTTTTTATGCGCAGAACAGAACAGAAATAAAAGTAAATTTAAAAGACCTTTTTCCTATTCATGCTCACTCATTGAGTATGTGTATGAATTAAAAATTACTATTTTTCTTATAATAGAATTACGCACAGACATATAAAAATGTAAATGAAGACCGTGAAATTTTTTTCGCGACATAATCGTCAATCATGATGATTCTATGAATTATGAACCTTCATAATTCAATCATAACATATAATAAAAAGACCTTCTCTTCTTCTTCATCTCCTCCGTACTTCTTTCTTTCTTCCGTTTTGACAATAGAATAATAGTAATAAAAAGAAGACAATTGGAAGTACGCGATCAATGCCAGGCTAGACACGTCGGTCTTTCTCATTCTCTTCCTTTTTGCTTGGCCTGTTCTTACTATAAATATAATTATTTGTACAATTCCTTTTACTACAAGTACTCACGAAAGACACAACAAGTAATGGACATTGTAATACATAGTATTGCTGAAGGTACTAGAGATTGTGTGGCGCATGACTTAGGCATTCTTTTGTGAAAATATTATTGGAATTGAATCTTAGGAATTTGATTGATTTTTGCATCATTAAAACTTGCATCTTTGTTGAGATGCGAAGATTTAAATTTCAAAAAGCCGTTAAATTGTAATATACTTTTTTAAATTACACTATTATATTTTTATCAAGCATAGATTGCTTAATTGAATAATTTCCCTTTTTTTCTGATTTAATAAATACTTTAATCAATCGAATTGAGCCATTCCAAACTATAATACAATCAAAAATATCGCATTGTTCTTCGCATATCCACTCATATATGAGTTTGAAGATTGAGACTAATCACCATAAATGCTTTGCGGCTTTCAACTTGATTTAAACTCGAGCCACAAAAGAAGAAGATGTGAGAAATCTCATCATAAAACTTAGCTTATCCCTTTTGATTGACTTAAGAGGTGTCTTATTGAGATTATACATTTTTTGTTCCAATTCCGAAAAGGATTTTAACTATTTGTTATTGCTTAATTTATCTAAATTACAATAATTTCCATATCTTAATAGCTTAATTCATACAAGGCATGTTAAAATAAGTTGCATAAAATCAACACAACGACTACAAGTTCAGGAGTCATGCTGCGAATATTGTCGAGCGACAAACGAAAACAAAAAATTATATGCAAATTGGATGAAATGAGGGAGATCGCAGGCACAATACTGGGTGTTATCAACAAAAATGTCTGGTGCTACTCAAAAAATTATTTCAATTGCAATTTTCTCAATGATTTTGTGTCTTTATGAAATTGCTGGGGAAGTTGGGAAGAAGAGCTTGTTAAGGCGCATTTTTCGGAGGGATGTTAATAATATTTTGAGGTTAAGGTACACTTTTTACGTTCTGAAGGGTTAAAAATCCTCCTTCTTTATCAGAGTCTGTATAGACCCTCGTTATAAAGGTCGGACCAGTTCCAAAAATATTATAACCAACAAAATAGCTCAAAATGCTTTGTGATACAAAAATAGCCATATTGCAAAAGGTGTAGCGATAGAGGGGTCCAAAGGGGTCAGGAACCCATCCTTCAGATTAGTTTTTGCATTGACCAGCTTCACCCTTCCAAACCGATATCCCAAACCGTCTACAACTCCCAATTTTATTGCTTAAAATTGCTCTAAAAAATATCAAAAGAGGATTTTCGGCGACCGGATATTAAAAAAAA